AGCGTACCACTTTCCACCAAATTTAAATAAAAAAGACAAAATTTGAATATTTAAAACGGAAGTAATAGATGATGTTCAAACAGTTTATATTTCATTAAATTTATTATTTTTTTTTGGAATAAAACCTGAAGAATTTTGTAGGATATTTTATTTTCAACTTGGCGCCTTAAAAGCGCAGTTGTCTGAATATAGCAATGTGAACTATAATTTGCCAACTTGTCGCTTAAATGAATGCTAGCGGACCCGGCGAACTTCGAACTAACTGAAACTGAAACTATCTGCGTTAGGCGCGCGGCAGCTTTTAAGGCATTGCGATTCAAAGTCTTGATACCGATTTCTGCTAGTAGGTTTCTTGCATAGCTGGGAGTTTCCAAAAAGCAATATTTTAAATGTATCAAAATTCAAGAAAAAAAAGTCCCACTGAACTGAGATAGGTGTTTGTGCCTCGAGAAGTAACAAGTCAACAATCCCATAGGTTGTATGCAGTCCCGTCTATTGATCAATGAGAGCCAGTGCCTAGCTATACCCTCTCACTTAAGTTGCTAAAAGAGTGAAAACCAAGTTGAAGGTGGAGATGAAGACGGTTTTTTTTTTCAATTAACGACATACACAATATTCCAATGCATTTGTGGACTAAGTACAACACGGNTTCAACCTTACACTGAGAAAAGAGTTTAGTTACGTCAACTAAATATGTTTTCCTCAACACATGATTTGGTTATAGTTACATTATTTGGTTTTAGTTACCAAATCATGTGTTGAGACAAACATATTTTGCTACTTTTTTCTCAGTGTAGATTGAGAGCAACAAGCAAGATCTTCCAGTCATTTCTGAGCAAAATATCCACCCCGTTTCTGACGATTGCTTCGATGACCGCAGGTTTGAGTACTTTGCGAGCCAAGGAACACATGCTATGAGTCGTATCTAGCCAAATGGTCGGATTCTCATTGCCAAGTACCCCCGAGTGACCTGTAGCCCAGAGTAAAATAAGTTCATTACGTTATTTAGTAGATAATTGCATTCCCGAACTAGTCTGGAAGTAATTACGACGGCTGGCCATTGCCTTGAATGCAGCTTGGCCGTGACTACAAATAAGTACGTAAAATTCACCGCTCCTACTGTTTTCCATCACGGACTCCATGGTCTTGAAGATTGCCAATTACTCGGCTTGGAATGCAGAGATATGTATATTCCCAAACAGAGAAGGGAAGATTGTCCATTGTCCCCGTTACTTTCGATAAAATCTTCAGATCCAGACTCTACGTCCGTTTTAGAGCTACTACAAAACATTTCACAATGTGTAAGCCAGCACTCAGCCTCAGGGAACTCAACATTGTGTTGTCTCTTCAGCAAAGGTAATGGTGTCGTCCTACCTTTGGCTCCGGTACAAATGACCGTTCGAAAACCCGCAGTTCAACAAATTCATCAACCAGCGCATTGCCATGAAAGGGTTCCTGGACAATTTTTGACGTAGTACGAGCACTTTTTAAGGCTTGTTAGAACAGCTTTGCTGACATTGTATTGCACGCTGATATAGTGATTCAGCCACCCTTCGCCACCAATTATCCAGGCTGCTACTTTAGGTATTAAAAAGGCCTCCGATTGAGAACTCACTACCACTGATATCGTACTGTGAAAGGAAAAGTGTGAATCGTCTTTTAAGGCCGAAAAAAATTACAATGAGAATTTTCGGAATCGTCCGTCTGCAGTAGAGCATGGAAGGTAATTTATCGGATCTTAGCCATTTCATCTGTGAAAATAGCTAGTTGCTTCGTGGGATAATAAGTACGCATGACCGTGATACAACTTAACTAATCCCAACTGGGTCTGCTTTCTCAAAACCACATTTGGGTCCCTAAAAACTTGATAGGCATTGAAAAAAAAGAGTTCAGCTAAGTTTGTCAACCAAATATTTTTCTATAACCAAATTACGTGTTCAAACCCTGGTCAAAGCAACAGCGCAAAAAATATAACTAGAAAAAAGGTTTTTTTCTTAACAGCGGTCGTCCCTCGGCAGGCAATGGCAAACCTCCGAGGTTATTTCTGCCATGAAAAACAGCTTCTCATAAAAAATGCAATCGCCATTCGGAGTCGGCGTAAAACTGTAGGTCCCTCCGCTTTGTGTGACAATATCAAGGCGCACGCCACAAATCGGAGGAGAAGCTCGGCCAAACACTAACATAAATATTTGTACGCGCCAATCTATTATCATTAAATTACGTGTTGAGAGAGTCAGCGTCAGAAATATGCATACCCAGACGTTTTGGCGTTTTATTTATTTATACTTTCCATATCAAATATTTCTTCTTTTTTTTTGTAAAAATGTAGTAAATTCAACGGCAAAAGCGACAAGAATAAATTTTTTCAATTTCATGCAGAACTCACGAAAATCCAAAAAAAATACCAAGAAAATTTCATCAAAATTTTCAATTCGATTTGTTGAAAAAATTCTGTGTGCAGTTTTTTGGCTCATTGAACGTTAGTATAATAAAGTGCAAGCTTCAAGTCGCTAAAAATTACCTTTGGATTTTGAGAAAGTTTTTGTTTGCCGAAGGTGTTGCGTTGTAAAAGAAAATACAAAACGCAGCACCCTCAGCGAGAAAAATGATTAAAAACCAACGGTATCTAATTTTAAGCGACTTCTTTATTATTACTAAAATTTAATGAGCTACAAATTGCATAGTCAAAAATTTTCTGAGAAATCGAGTTGAAAAACTAAAAATTTCTTGCATTTTACCGAGTTCTGTATGAAATGAAAAAAAAAATATTCTTGTGGGTTTTGCTTTTGAATGAACTATATTTTTATGAAAAAAATCCCAGCGTGCTTCACTGCACCTTAAAAGTATTTTTGTGTTGTTTGATAACCGTATTGTAATATTTCATTTATTTTATCAATTTCATTAAATTTCAATTTTTTAACATATGGCAACCCTCCTCAAAAATATTTTCCGCTGTAAGCCTTCTTAAATGTATTTGTTTTGACGGCTATATTGCAATATTTACTTTATCTTATCAATTTACTTAAACTGCAATTTTCAAACAGGTGGCAACTCTCTAGCTTTTTTCTTTTTATAATTTAAGTAAGACCTCTAGCAATACATCGGTGAAAACGGCATTCAATTTCAGATATTAGTTTTCGAGTGATGCGCGTACAAACATACAGACAGACAGACAAAAAATTCTAAAAATTGTTGAATATTAATTATCTATTATACACAGACATCGGCCTGTTACAACTTTATTATATGTATAGATAAGAAAAATTTAGTATGGAAAATATACATAAATAAAATCGACAATACGTCAGAGTAGGCATATTTTTGACGCCGACTGTATTTAGTTGACGTAACTGAACCCTTTTATTCAGTGGGTGTAGGACGTGGAAAACTGATTTGAGACAAAAGCGCTTCCGACATATCGGCATATATTCCACAACGTGCGAAGCAACTGGCATTTTTTATGTTCCTCGGATAGTAGAATGATTAAATAAAAACTTAAAATAACATTTTTAATATTGATGAATCTTGCATACACAATCGTTGCACAAACACAAACTATAAAAGTCCTCCTGCATGTACATATGCACATTAGGGTGCATCGCTCTCCATACAAAAAAAAATCGGAAATATAAAATTTATTCTATTTTAAGACTTCCGCCAAAATATTTCGGAAAGATATTTAGATTTATGTGAGCTTGCTCTATTTGAAAATACATCCAAAAGTCGATTTTTATTATGAATAAAATTATTTTTAAGCTATATTTTTTTCTAAAAAATCACCTCAGATGTTAGAATAGCGTAAGCTTAAAAGGTCTGCATGGAGAGATTTTTGGAGTTACATATTTAAAACTGGTCTAGCTCACGTAAATCTTAATATTTTTTAATTTTTTTTATACATAAAATTAGTTTAAAATTTTATTTATTTTTTTTTTTTTCTAAAAAATCACCTCAGATGATAGAAGAGCGTAAGCTTAAAAGGTCTGCAATTGGTCTAGCTCGCGTAACTCTTAATATTTTTTCAAAATATTTTCGCGGATGGCTTAAAATGTAATAAATTTTATAATTCCGGTGGAAAAACGCAACTTTTTTCTTTGAAGTTGCACCCTAATGTGCGTAAATATGTATGCATATAGATTAAAATGCATTGGAGTATAAGTCACATCAACAATTAATTACACACAATATGTTGCATTTCAACCCCAACCGCATCCCCCCATTGGCACAAACCTTAAATGTATTACTCGTCTGGCGAAAGAAGCGAAATGAGCCGGGCGAATCGATAGTATACTGACGCGCCAAACCACTATGCACAACACTCGATTGTCGGAACCAGGGTAATGAAATTTTCCGTCGACTCTTTTGTGGTTTAATAGCTGGTGCGGATAGTGAATTTGAGACGCCAGCTGCACCAGTGGTGGTGGTGGTGGTGGTGTTGGGTGTAAAATTGAAAGGTGAGGAGTTGGATGTGGTGGGAGAGCCGCTATNGAGAGATTTTTGGAGTTACATATTTAAAACTGGTCTAGCTCACGTAAATCTTAATATTTTTTAATTTTTTTTATACATAAAATTAGTTTAAAATTTTATTTATTTATTTTTTTTTTTTTAAAATCACCTCAGATGATAGAAGAGCGTAAGCTTAAAAGGTCTGCAATTGGTCTAGCTCGCGTAACTCTTAATATTTTTTCAAAATATTTTCGCGGATGGCTTAAAATGTAATAAATTTTATAATTCCGGTGGAAAAACGCAACTTTTTTCTTTGAAGTTGCACCCTAATGTGCGTAAATATGTATGCATATAGATTAAAATGCATTGNCTTAAAATGTAATAAATTTTATAATTCCGGTGGAAAAACGCAACTTTTTTTTTAGGTTCCACCCCAATGTATGTACATATGTATGTACATAGATAAAAATGCATACGAGTATAAGTCACATCAACAATTAATTACACACAATATGTTGCATTTCAACCCCAACCGCATCCCCCCCATTGGCACAAACCTTAAATGTATTACTCGTCTGGCGAAAGAAGCGAAATGAGCCGGGCGAATCGATAGTATACTGACGCGCCAAACCACTATGCACAACACTCGATTGTCGGAACCAGGGTAATGAAATTTTCCGTCGACTCTTTTGTGGTTTAATAGCTGGTGCGGATAGTGAATTTGAGACGCCAGCTGCACCAGTGGTGGTGGTGGTGGTGGTGTTGGGTGTAAAATTGAAAGGTGAGGAGTTGGATGTGGTGGGAGAGCCGCTATTATTGCCAATGATAGCAGCAGCGGCAGAGGATGGCGAACGGCTACCACCGGTGCCGCCGGTCATTGGCTGCAATTCAGCGCTGGGTGTATCTGCTGTGCCTATAGAGGGGCTGGGCGATGGATCAGCAATGGCATAGGGCGCCAATGGTTCGTCATAAGCGATAGCAGTGACAAAAATATCACCACCGTCATCGTCGCCAACGACGCTGACACCACCACCGCTGCCGCCGCCAGTANGGGCGATGGATCAGCAATGGCATAGGGCGCCAATGGTTCGTCATAAGCGATAGCAGTGACAAAAATATCACCACCGTCATCGTCGCCAACGACGCTGACGCCACCGCCAGTGTACGGCATTAGTTGAGTATCATTGGGCGTAGTGGATGATGAAGAGCCACCGCCGCCCGCGCCGCCGCCATTGCTAGCTTTTTGCTGTTTGTTTGTGGTGAGCTTCTTGCTGCCGCTGGGCGATGCACTGCCGCTGTCTGAATGATCGACGCTGCTCATGCGCTCGATAATTAATTTTTTGACGGTCTTCATTTGTTTGGGGTTTTGTTTTTTTAATTTGTATTAAAATTAATTTAGTTTAAATATTATAATTTTTTAAGTTTTATTTTTTGATTTTAGCGCTCGTAAATATTTATTAATAATTAATTTTCTTTTTTTTTATATAAAATTCGAAAATCTAAAGCTATCGTTGCTAGTTTGGTTATTTGTTAGTTTTGTAGTTGCTCTTTTGTTTTGGTTTGGATTGCTGCAAAATTTGTGACTTGGTTTGTTTTTTACTAATTTTGTGTTTTCTTA